GAAGCTAACTACACAGCTAAAGCCTCACAAAGAAGCTAACTACACAGCTAAAGTCATCTAAGGAAGCTAACTACACAGCTAAAGTCAAAGAAGGAAGCTAACTACACAGCTAAAGCCTCAGAAAGAAGCTAACTACACAGCTAAAGTCACAAAAAAAATCTAACTACACAACTAAAGCCACAGAAACAAGCTAACAGCACAGCTAAAGAAGCTAACTACACAGCTAAAGCCAAAGAAAGACGCGAACAGCATAGCTAAACTAATAGAAAGAGGCTAACTACACGGTTAAGTCATAGAAGGAAGCTAACTACACAACTATAATCATACAAAGACAGCTAACTACAAGCTAAAGTCACTGAAAGACGGCTAACTACAAGCTAAAGTCACATGAAGACAGCTCACTGCAAGGCTAAAATCATCAAGACATGTCACTAAACCACAGACACCACAGAAAACTGCAAAAAGCAGTGCTAATGTCGTTTTTTTTGTTTTGTTTTTAAAGCCAACTGGTTGTCTGAAGTCATAGTGTTAAATCAAGGTAAAGTTAGCCTTTACTGAAGCTAAATTCAAGTCTCAGTCCATTTTAAACCAACTACAGATGACCAAAATGCTGCACAGGCTAAAAAAAATACCTAAAAAGCTAAGCTCAGTGATTTCTCTTCTGTAAACGGACAAAAATATTAAGAATGTAGGTTACTCTGTTTGTTTTTTTGCTACATGCTAAATGAGGCAACTGATAAAAGTCAATCAATGGTGGAAAAGAAACAATAAGCTAGCTTAGCGGTAGCAGCCGCTAGTGTCAAGAATGTACTTTTAGATGCGGGTAGTTCATTTGCAGGGTAGTTTTTAAATTCTAAAAAGTTAATTCACCTCAGGCAAACAGTGACGTGAATTAACTTGTAATTGTGCCACTCGTATATTTCTCTTGTTAAATAGTTTTTTGGGGAGTTTTTTCGTACAGTGCTGGTGCTGGAAGTTGGCCGGCTTGTTTCTGGAGGTTAAAGTCTCTCTGTTACGCTGTCATGGCAGATAAAAGGAGATAAATCACGTTTCATCGGTCATTTTTCCTTCCTCTTTGTGCCTCCGTTTGGCGTCCTGGGAGGCTTTTTGTTTGGCGCTCTGACTCCCAAAGTCCCGCTTCACAAAGGGATCGCAGCATAATTCAATTTGTATGCAAAGGTTTGGGCCAATGGAGCGGCAGCAGCACGCACACATTAAAATGAGCTTCTCTTCATGTTTTAGCGTAAATTTAAACTCACAACCTTTTAAAATATAAAGAAAACCAATAATGTTGGCATCTGCAAAAGTTTTTTTTACCATTTTTTCACATTAAACGCAGCGTTATAAACATGAAGGCACCCAGTATCTCAGGTATTACATCCACATGTGCTGCATGTTGTTTTTAACACAGTATATAATACAGTACACATCGTGGGTTATCAACTTATTTCAGCACCTCTGTTTCTGGTTTCCTAGTTTCTCTGTACCAGGTCACAATCCCTAAAAAATATGACAGCAGCAGCTTTTCAGATGTGACGCCAGTTCTGGAAATGTTCTATCTTGGTCCAGGTTAGGCAGTAATGAACATGTCAGGATCCCTAAAAGTCACTTAAAAACAGCTGTTGGGACCAAAACCACTGGTAAAGAACTTCATAAGCCACAAACATGAGGTCCTTGAAGCCTCACAAGCAGGAGGCAGCTTTAAATTTCATCTAGAAATAAGAAATGTCAGGAGGTCAGGGGCTCTGCTGGGCTCCAATGCAAAACTAGATCCTCGTATTCACTGCGATGCTCAGACTGTGTCACCAGAAGGAAACCCGACCTGCAGCCTCGTCACAGAAGTCGACATCTGCAGAGCAACATCTGGATGGACCAGAGCTGTGCTGCGGCATCATTCATCTTGTAAACAATGTGCTTTATTTAGACGTGGGGGCGGCGACAGGTGATTTAGGTGATCTGGGCTTCTTTGCTTTTTGTTTGTTCTGAGGATTTAAGCCTAATGCGAGGACTTTGTTTAGGTCCACATCTCCTCCCCAAACAGCTGGACGCCATTAGCGGCATGCTGACTGACACACACTCAGGTTTGTCCACCTTTGTGAGGACCCAAGGTGACTTGGACTGATGGCCAAAACAAAGGAGGCTTTGATTTGACGTTGAGCAGCAGATTTGACCCTTTCACGACCGGCCTGTGTGGCTCTGACTGCGTTTACATCCTCTCATTTGTTGTGCTAAACTTTACTTACTTCACTGGTGACGTTATTTTACGGTGGCTTTGTAGTTAGCTTCTTTCTTTAGCTTTGTAGTTAGCTCTTCTTCTATACGCTCAACTGTGTAGCGTTTCTATCGCCGTTACTGTGCAGTTAGCTATTTCTGTGACTAGCTGTCTAATAAGCTGTGTTTTTTTAACTTTAGCTTTGTAGTTAGCTTGTTTCTTTAGCTTTGTAGTTAGCTTGTTTCTTTAACTTTAGCTTTGTAGTTAGCTGTCTCTCTAAACATTTAGCTGTGTAGCTAGCTTATTCTTTGGCTGTTACTGTGTGCTTAGCTATTTCTCAGACTAGCTGTGAGAAATAAGCTGTCTTTTTATAACTTTAGCTTTGTAGTTAGCTGTTTTTTTATAACTTTAGCTTTGTAGTTAGCTTTCTTTCTACAACTTTAGCAGTGAAGTTAGCTGTCTTTCCATGACTGCAGATGAGTAGTTAGCTTCTTTCTTTAACTTAAGCTTTGT